CAGATACAGGACAATGAATTAAACCATTACTCTCTTTTTCTCTTCTGTTATTAATACATATACAACAAAGAAAAATTCCAAAATTAGTCCAAATAAGCTATATATAAAATGTATTATTTTTTACTTTATTTTTATTGTTGACATTATTGCAATGTCCTCATCCCCTCCCCTACTCTGTCCAACTCCCCTCAGCCCCACCTCCCCTTCCCTCTGGCTATCACCACATTGTTGTCTATGTCTATGGGTTAGGCATATATATGAAATTTATAGGAAACTAAGATTTTCACGTTTCCCTTCACAATATCTACTTCTGACACATTCACTTTCAAACATTATGTTTTAATGTCTATAAAAATGCTTATTTCAATCTGTCACCATCCTAGAGGTCGATCTTTCTTACATAAGTGCGCTAAGTAACAGAGAGCATCGTGTGGCTTTTAGCTCATTCACTCAGGTACTCAGGTAGATGATACATTAAAGATAAACAATTTATGAATGTTTCATTGGAGTTACTTCCCTAAAGCAAAATTCCTGTTGTAGATGATAATTGCTGCATAAAAAATAAACCCCAAATAAAGCATGTATGACTATGGATGTGAACCTATTCAGTATTAAAATAAAAAGTAGTGTTCAGCTGATCAGCATTTCTAACAGCAGAATAACCATGGTCTTCGGGCCATGAGCATGAAGGCTACAGCCCTTCAAGGCCCAAATGAACCTATCACAAAGCAGGGAGGATATTTACTATAACCTGGAATTAAGTTCAGCCACTACTCTTATTGAAATATCTTGGCAGTTTAAATAATTTTAAATAAAACTATAAAAATAATTTAATGGGAAAAGGATAATAATAATTTAATATGCGTGTATTATGCACTTTAGCATATTAATTCACTTAACTCTCCAATACCTCTATAAAGTAGACTTCACAGCATCATTTTAATGTTGAATAAACTAAGGAACACTTTTCTAAGAAGGGGAGATGTCACATGCAGAAGATGATCTTTACACTATTATTGAGAAGCACCATAGGACGTTAAGATCATAAGTAACATATTTAAATGTTGATAATAACAATACTGATAAAAAGCGTTGATCTACAAATCTTGGGAGCATGACCCATTCCAAGTGTTCAGTAAGTGGTGCTCAATCAGCTTCAAGGGAGGTATCAACTACTAGTGGGATAAATCAAAGTCACAAAGTAGGTAAATTATCCGCTTCCCTGTTCCTCACAGCTGTCTATCACTGATGGATGGCCTCCTTTGCCTCACTGAGCAATTCTCTACCTCCCTTACCTGCTCTAGGCCCTGGGATATTAAACTATATGGACACATTAACAAGCATCTTTGCCCTTTGGATTTTGATTAGGTTTGGCTTTTGTTAAGGTTTGGCAAATAGGTAGCACCAGCAGGAGATTAATACAAGGGAACAGGCTGTGAGATCACCCTTTAACCAAACACCACAACTTTTTGTAAATGAACCTCTTTGATTCCTGGTTCATACAACTGTTTCCTCCTCTTACGAGCTCTGGTCTATTGGTGATAAAAGCCCTATTCTGCCTATCCTATTTGGTTTCCCTATGTGTACTATATCCCTTGTAAATAAGCCCTTTATTAAAATATTCTCATATTCTACAGTATCAATGTGCTGTCTATTTCTTGACAGAATATTGATTATATGATATCTCATGAAATCTTCTTGGTAAACAGGTTGCTGTCAGTGTGAAGAATGTTCCTAGTTTTGTGTTATTTTCCCACCTAACTAAACTATACTTGTTTTTTCTTCATTTCTTAAGGGAAAAGGGATATTTTTGGTAAAATAAGTGTCACTTCGGTTCATTAAAACAACATGTTTCCAATGGAAAAACAATATTAAATACAAACTATTTCTAAATGTTGAACTCATCACAGATTTTGTTTAAACATTCTGACCATTACAGCATTTATTTTGCAACAACAGAGGCCTTCAAATATCAATTGTTATTGATTTTCCTGCTTAAAACTGTAAACATCTCAGAATCCAATCCCTACAACATTTAAACATGTGCAAGCCTCTCAAAACAAACAAACCAAAGAAACCTCTTGTTTTGACCTACATCCCAGTAAATGTCAGCTTATTGAAACAGTTGCCTATAATTGATTTTTCTGTGCCATTTCCCATTTTCTCTGCAAAAGACTGACTTCAGAGTTCCTCCCTCAATTCCACAGCAAGTTCTCTCCCTAAGAGCACCAGAAACTACCTTTTGCTTCTCCCAACCTATATTTTTTTAAGCCTAATCTTTCCAAAACATTCCAACCTCTGACCACTGTCTGATAACGCGTTCCACCTTTAAGTTTATCAGTCTCCTTTTGTTGCTCTGAGGTGTCTATGACCACATCTCGGTGTCCTCCAATGTTTGGCTTTCTTAACTGTCTTTTAGGATTCTGTCTGCCACCTTCTTTTTATTCATTATTATCTCACCTCCACCACAGTTTTAACCATCATATGCTGATGGCCATGTATCTTTATAGATCTTGTGCCACAGAAGCCACACATGCAACATGTTTAGAAATGAAGCCCCGATCCTACCCTAACAGGTCCTCTTCTTCCTCTTTTCCCTCGCTCAGGAAACAGCAGATTCGCCGTCTCGTTGCCCAGATCAGAAACTTGGAAACTGTTCTTGAGTACTTTCTCTTCCTCTTTACCTGAATGTCTCTGAAATCTATTCCTGTCTTTACCTCACACCATTATTTAATCAATCCCTTTGTATTTAGATTACAATATCTCCTAAGCAGCCCTCCTTCCTTGCTCCAATCCATTCCATGTACCACCTACAGGGCTGCTTAGCCCTGCATGACAGGGAGGTCTCCTCAAGATCCAGACCCTGCCTGACTCTCAGACTTATTTCTACATGTCTCTCCATGAACTACTCTAGTTATATGAAATATGCTTCAAAGAACCTTTTCACTATTCTTGGAACATTCTTCACTGGAAGTAAGCATCTCTGTTTTCCTAATGACTACCTGTCTTTCCAAATTTGGCTCTTTTTAAAGTTTACAGACACCCTACTGCCACAGTCAGAGGGTGACCTATGTATTCAATAACCCTGTGTCTATCTCTGTCCCAGAACCTGTCACATGGAATTCCCAACGATCACTCACCAATCTCCTTCAGTAATATATAATGTATCTATGAGCTGAGCTGGTACAATGCCATATCCACCTGTATCATCAATGCCCAATACAATATGTGGCATAAATTGTGTTCCTATTGAAAGTTTGTGAACAAATGAATGAATGAATGTGAGTTTGCAAAATGTCATTCTAAAACAGCAGATAAGCAGCCCAGAAAAAGCCATGATTATACCTTCAATTTTTTGGTAAATAGCCATCACTGGATGCTTTCATTCTGTAATTTTGCTCTAGCATGTTCATTTTCACACAACTTACCCTACAGAGTCAGAACTCTTAAATATCTTAGAGATGAACAGAGGCAATTCTCTCATGATAGCAGTCTATTCCTAATGTGGACTTATTTCCCTTCGGGAGCAGAATTTCATATATTGCTACCTCATCAAACACCAATTTCCAACAAATGTATAAAACTACAAAGATACGGTACTTCCTTAAGCTTCTCTTTAAATAGCATTGTTATTTAAAGTTAAATATCACATGACTATATTGAACTTAACATGATTTCTATTGGCCAAATAACACGAAAGCCCTGATGGGAACAGGGCTAAGTAATTAAGCAGGCTTTTTCTTCTTTATTCATTTCCATTTGTTTACCCTGCCTCTAAGAAAATATTATAAGATTTGACAAGCTGCCTTTATTACAGAAAGAATATACTTGTATTTAATAACAGGGAGATAGAAAACCAATCTCTAAGTGTAAGCCAGGAAAAGTAGTTCACTGATTTAAGACTGAAAGCTTTTTAATTTTTTTTATTTTACAGTTAAGGCTGAAGCCTTTAAAACATTTAAAAGCTGTCTCCCTTTTCCTTCGTTCATCTTTACTCCCTTTCCAATAGTTACCATAATTCCAGATGCCTACACTAAACAGGGCACTGATATTGCCTTATATTTCTGTCAATGTTCACCCCTTATGGTTATGTACCAAATAGCCTTTTACTATTTTTAAAAAAATTGTGGTCATTAACATATGGTTTATGAAGCTCTATAACTGCAGCCCTTGACACAAATAGAGTTTAATATAACACCAAGCAAATAAACAAATAATTAAGTAAAATATTAATGGTGCTTGGATCCCACCACAATTATGTGCTCGCCTTAAAGTTTTGTGTAATTACTTAACTAAAACTCTTCCTTTCCTATCTGACATAGGCTAATTATAATAAAAATAGAGGTGCTAAATAAAAGGGCTGGGGGTTTTACATGTATTCTCTCAAATCCTCACAGCCCTATAAGGTAGGTATTATATGTTTGATGAGCCTGACTCAAATAACTTACCCAAGGCCGCACAGCTAGCGACAAAGATGAGATTCAAGCCTATATCCTTAGCATTTACAGGAATCTTTAATGACATGATATTTACCCATGTCATTGGGTAACTTCCAGGACAACCTGGAAGTTGTCCAGGTCCAGCCTCTACCTATATATATTCACTGAAATAAATATTTTTCCATAGCACATTGTGCGATCATCTTCATGAACATTTATAGTGGGAAGAAATGATAATTACCTGTCTTCAATCAATTTCCACAAACATGTTAAAAAGATAACCAATACATAAGACCATCCCCATAGGAATGACTCAGATGTAAGTAAGAAAGGAAATCAGATAAGTTTAACAGAGATTAGGGTGACTGCACAAACCGAATGCTTCTAGAAATGCCAAGCAAGGGCTACATGCTTTGTTTAGAAACACAACACAAACAACTATGTTATTGATGATACGGCCATGGTAGGATTCTAGAAAATTTTGTTTTATCTGTCAAGCTCTCTTGATCATTTCCAAATAGCATTTCTTCCCTGGCACACTAAGTTAGTGAAATGACTCACAGCAGCTGGATTCATCTTCATTAGAGTGGCAGTCAGGCACTCCATCGCATAGCAGGAGGGATGGGATACACTCCAGGGTAGAGCACTGGAACTCCGTTATACCACAGAGCTGTGGAGGGGGGCTGAGAGAACAATCCATTTCATCCGATCCATCTGTGCAATCCTCCTGTCCATTACATTTCCCTGAGAGAGGGACACACTGGAGTGTGTAGACACAAGAAAACTGATCAGCTTCACAAGGTGGTGGCTGTGTTGTGACAGGACCTGAAAAAAGAGCATGTCAAGTCATTAGGAAAGTTATGTCTCTGTCTAGTGATGAAACATTGTAAGATATATTTATTCTTGGATAAACATGAAACATTTTGATAATTACTAAGTTAATTTCCAATTAGGAATACTATGAACTCCGCAAAACATACAAACGTGATTAGAGAAAATGTCTTATCTTAATCTCAGAAAGAACATTCTTTATATATATATATTCTTATTTATTTATTTATTTATTTATTGATTTCAGAGAGAGGAAGGGAGGGAGAGAGAGAGAGACAGAAACATCAGTGATGAGAGAGAGGCATTGATCGGCTGCTTCCTGCACGCCCCCTACTGCAAGCCCGCAACCCTGGCATGTGCCCTGATGGAATCAAACCGAGATCTCCTGGATCTTAGGTTGACGCTCAACCACCGAGCTACTCCACCAGGGCAAGAGCATTCTTATAAGGAGCATCACTGTCATAAAAATGGGACTTTCAAATTAAAGGAAAAATTTTGATTCATGATCTTGAAATTTGATTAGTAAGTCAGATTTTCCTTGAGAGTAAAGATACTTTTACACAGTAAGTTAGGTTCTTTCAAAAATTGCACTAATAATTTTAGAATTTAAGGCAATTTTTATTATATCAGTATAGAGTTTATTAACCGTCTCTTAGTAGCCTCTATGTGGGAAATCTGGCTCCTACTACATGGTCAGTGTTGAGTCACAAAAGCAGAGGTCTGCATTGGTTTTGTTGCAGTGCACTTTGGCCTTGGGTCTTGAGTTCAACTCAAGGGCCATGTGCTGCCATATTTAAAGTGCAGGTGAAATCATAGTTTAAGCCAGGATACTGCACTAGCAGGAATTTTTAGGATAATGTGGTTCAAACCCAACCATTTTTACAGATGAGGATACTGAGGTCTATAAAATTTGAGTGCCCAAAAGTTCAGTGCCAGTTGATAAACTTTTATCATGTGAAACTATTCAGCAGCAAAGGTTTAAGTCAACTTGAAGTCAAAACTTAAAGCATTAGCAGACTCTTGTATATTCACACATGTGAATATACAGCACTGTACTTATTTTCTGGAACATTAGTGGAACTAAAAATACAGCCCAGTCAACATAGCTCAGCAGTTGAGCATTGACCTATGCTCTAGGTGATCACATTTCGATTCCCTGTCAGGGCACATGCCCGGGTTGTGGGCTCGATCCTTAGTCGGGGCATGCAGGAGGCAGCCGATCAATGACTCTCATCATTGATGTTTCTATCTCTCTCTCTCCCTCTCTCCCTTCCTCTTTCTGAAATCAATAAAGACATGCTTAAAATAAATGAATAAATAAATAAGTAAATAAATATACAGGGCTGCATCAATTTGCTGGGATATTAGTGGAACTGTTCTTCATATTGTCTCTATGACAGTTGTTGATGGGCTCATCAGTATATTAAGTGAAAAAAATAGTAGTGGGGATCAGTTCAGAAACAGTTTATTTTGGGTTCTTGACTTTTTAAACTTTTTATTTATAAATTCTATGAGAATTATTTGTTTTATATATAAAGGTGATGTGAATTCATTTTAAAAATGAAATATGAAAGTTCCTCTCCCTCTCCACTCACTCAGTGGTGGTGATATATTCAGAGTGCATTTACACTCCAACTCTCTGATCTAACTCTGTGTATCTGAGATCCATGCAGTGTCTTAGGGAGCCTGTTCTTGGAAACCAACATATTTAATCAGGGGAGGAGTAAAAACTTTGAGACATTAGTACCATGTTCTTACCTAACTATCTAAGATCGAAGCATATAAAATTGCAGTGTTTCAATGTCAACATTCTAAATTCAAACTTAGAAAGTAAATTGGACTTCATATATACATAATTTTTATATTTAACCATGACCAGATAAATAGTTTGTCTTTATTCTTTTTGTTAGATTAATCTCACATTTAAGAAAGAGTAGACATCCTTACTTTTATGTTTTAAAATATTTTATGCACTGAACATTTATCTTTATGAACTCACCAAAGGTTAAAAAAGTTGAATAAACTTTTTGCATGTGCTGAAAATCTAGAATGAACTTTAGTAACTACATTCCTATTTCTTAGCTAAGTTAAGACCTTTTCTGAAAAGAGGAAAAAAAAGGAACAAAAAAAAAAAAAAAAAAAAAA